TTTTTCAGTTTTTGGTCGGGGCCAGGTTTGAACCCACCACTTCTGGTATATGAGGCTGGCACCCTACTCCTTGAGCCACAGGCACCGCCGCATATACCTGTAAATTTTTGCTTAATTTTTCTTTTTTTCTTTTTTAGAGACAGCATTTCACTTTATCGCCCTCGGTAGAGTACCGTGGTGCCACACAGCTTACAGCAACCTCCAACTCCTGGGCTTAGGTGATTCCCTTGCCTCAGCCTCCCAAGTAGCTGGGACTACAGGCACCTGCCACAATGCCCGGCTATTTTCTTTTCTTTCTTTCTTTCTTTTTTTTTTTATTAAATCATAGCTGTGTACATTAATGCAGTCATGGGGTACAGTGTTCTGGTTTTATATACAATTTGAAATATTTTCATCAAACTGGTTAACATAGCCTTCATGTCATTTTCTTAGTTATTGTGTTAAGACATTTATATTCTACATTTAGAAAGATTCACATGTACCCTTGTAGGATGAACCATAGATGTGGTCCCACCAATCACCTTCCTCCGGCTATTTTCTTGTTGCAATTTGGCCAAGGCTGGGTTTGAACCCGTCACTGTCGGTATATGGGGCCAGCATCCTACCCACTGGGCCACAGGCACCGCCCAAGCTCAAATGATTTTATAGTCACACAGGAAAATTTCCAGTTTAGAAAGTTAGAAAATAAGCAAAACACAAATTATTGGAAACTCCATGCAGAGATAAGGATCACTGTGCAGATGCTGACTTTTATACATGGGCGGATCTATTTATAAACTTTAGCAGGGGTGCACAGTGAATGACAAGAGAACTGAGCAGACAGGGCAGGGGATGGAGAACAACTCTTTCAAATAGGGCATTGTCACTGTTAAATGTTTTGTTTTGTTTTGTTTCGTTGAGACAGACTCTCACTCTGTTGCCCTGGGTAGAGAGCTCACACTAACCTCAAACTTCTGGGCTTAAGTGATCCTCTTGCCTCTTGCCTCAGCTGGAACTACAGGCACCCACCACAACTCCAGGCCAGTTTTTCTATTTTTAGTAGAGACAGGGTCTTGTTCTTGCTCAAACAGGTCTCCAATTCCCAAGCTCAGGCAACCCACCCTTCTTGGCCTCGCAGAGTGCTAGGATTACAAGCCAGGCGTGGGGCACCACACCCAGCCAGATGTTTTGTTTGAAAGCTTCTTCCAAAAATATCTTTTCAAGAGGGAGTGTCACACACTTAAAAAACCAAAAGCATGAAGTACACTCTTTAAATATAGAAAAACAGCCCAACCAGTGCCAATTCTTTTAAGTTTCAAACAATATGTGCAAATGCCAACCAAAGAACTGTAATAATAGCAAAATACACATAAGAGTGCCCTATATATAAAGTCGGGTGTTATAGGACAAACTGTTAAAGTTCATCAACTCTCCTCAAATCATAAAGCCTTTCAGAGCTCAAGGCAGATAACATGATGACTCTTTTCTAGTTTCTTCTTGGTGCTCCAGTTCCATTTGTTCATTTAAGCTTTTGAGAGTGTTGGAACTTTAAATACAAATCTCTCCCAAACACAAAAGGGAGAGGATAACGGCTCTCAATTCCCAAAGCACCCGGTATGCTATGAGAGAGTCTTAGGTGTACCATGAAAATTTTCAAAGATCATTAATTATTTTTGAAAGAAGTTCAAAGCACAAGAAGCATGTGTATGTTCTTTTTTTTTTTACTCTTTTTTTGTCAACATAATTTAAGTGTAATGCAGAAGTTTGACTATAGGTTCAAGTATACTGTGAAATAAAAAAAGGTTGAATCACAGGAATGAAAGAAAAAGTATCCAATGTACACACCCCTATTATGAAATTAATTTAAACCTTTTATATGAAAGCTATAACCTAATAACAACCTAAAGATATGGGGAGGGGAGAGGGAGGGGGAGGGGGGGATTGGTGGAGGGAGAGGGATTCGAGGGTTCACTTCTGTAGTTTATCTTACAAGGGTACAAGTGAATCTTTCTATGAGTAAAATATGAACGTTTTAACACAATAACTAAGAAAATGATATGAAGACTATGTTAACCAATTTGATGGAAGTGTTTTAGATTGTGTGTGAAAACACCACACTGTACCCTAGAAGTGCATTAATGTACACAGTTACCATTCAATAAAAATAAAATAAAATAAAATAAAATAAAAAAAGGTGGAAAAACTGCTTTAAGGCCTGAACCTGCTGCAACGTGGGTCTGTTTGCTGTGGGCAAGTCTTCAGCAGAGCAGGGGCCAGCCTGCCTCCTGATTTCTTCTGGCCACACTTTTCTGTTTCTAGTTAGTCTGGCCAAAGGTTTATAGATTTTATTTATCTTTTCTTTTTTTGAGACAGAGTCTCAAGCTGTCAACCTGGGTAGAGTGCTGTGGCATCATAGCTCACAGCAATTTCCAACTCCTGGGCTTAAACGATTCTCTTGCCTCAACCTCCCAAGTAGCTAGGACTATAGGTGCCTGCCACAATGCTTGGCTATTTTTTGGTTGTAGTTGTCATTGTCGTTTGGCGGCCCTGGGCTAGATTCGAACCCGCCAGCTCTGGTGTATGTGGCTGATGCCTTAGCCGCTTGAGCTATAAGTGCCAAGCCAATTTTGGTGCGTTTCTGATGAGGGCTCTTTTTCTGTCTTGTAGACAGCCACCTTCTTGCTGTGTCCTCACGTGGTGGGGAGAGAGAGATCTCATTCTCACCCTCTTCTTATAAAGCCCTCACTTCTATTGAATTTGCCTCCTTACCATGTCCTCATTTCACCTTACTGAGATGTTATCAAATACTGAGTGACAGATAACTCTTCAAAAGCAATTTGCCAGCTAATTTCACAGCAATGTGAGGGCAGTCCCTCAGTGAGGACCATAGAGTCTCTCAGGGCACAGCATGTGTTGTATGTCACAGGTTTTTAACAGACAGGGCCGCCAGCATTCATCTTCATAACTCATGACTGATATGGTCCCAGGAAAAGGGAGGACAGACACCAGGCCCTGGATGGTCAGACCTATTCCACTTACCACCAACCCTCACCTCACCCAAGTAGACCCTCTGCAAGGCCAGTCCCAGGAACAGGATGGTAGGCTGTGGCTGCCATCCACAATCAGAGGCTTCTGCAGAACTTGAAGCATCGCATAGTAGGGCCAGACAAAAGATGTTTGGACTTTCTTGCCCATGGCCTTGGGTATGGGATAAGATAACACTGTCTGGCCTTTCTTCCTCATGTCCTTGCCAGAGGGGGCCCGTGTTCCTGGTTAGTCATAACTGTGGGTGAAGTCATACTTATGTAACTGCTGCTTGGCATGTTGCCACTTTTGTTCTCCTGGGTATAAAGGTACACATGGCCTTCTCCTCGTTTGTACTGCTGATCACAGAGTATGGACTTTCCATGTAACTCAGCCTTCTGGCCGCCAGGAGCTGGATAAAAAAGGACGTCCCCTGCTTGCTCACCAGTTCCTGTGAGCTGAATAAAGGATGTTGCACCCTCCCTCCATGCCCGAGTTTCTGTCCAGTCTGCCCAAATAAGAGCATTGGCTTTACTATAGCACTTATCATTGGGATCTCTCCTGGCGTGGCTGCCCGCTTATCCAGTGCACCCAATCCAGACCCTTTCTATGCCCCAGAGGGCGAGGCTGTTAATCTGCAAAACACAGGCATCTCCGCATTTCCCTAGCATCTCAGTATTGTGTCCCACCCTCAGCTCCTCATTTAAGTCCTCTTGTCCTAATTCTTTAAAAATGTACCGGGAGTAGGCCTGGCACCTATAGCTCAGCAGCTAGAGTGCCGGCCACATACACCAGGGCTGGCAGGTTTGAACCTGGCCCCTGCCTGCCAAACAATGAGAACTACAACAACAACAACAAAATAGCCAGGTGTTGTGGGCACCTGTAGTCCCAGCTACTTGGGAGGCTGAGGCAAAAGAATCGCTTAAGCCCAAGAGTTGGAGGTTGATGTGAGCTGTGATGCCCCGGCACTCTACCAAGGGTGACAGCTT